CTGGTAAACAGAACTGCAACTACTACTCTTCGAGGAGTGGTCATTAGGTTCAGGGTCACCAGAGGCTGCTCCCAAGGTGGGGTACTATATTCCCTTTTGTGGTCGCTCCTGATAGATAGTCTGCTTAATACCCTTGGCAGAAGAAAAGTAGATCTGCAAGATTATGAAGATGACCTTGTCATCTTGGCAAGGTACTTCGGGAAGGGTAGCTTGTAGTATCATCCAAAGCACGATGGACGTTGTTCACAGTTGGTGCCTGAAGGAGCAGATGTCTGTCAACACCAGCAAAACTGAAATAATTCCCTTCACCAGGAGAAACAAATTTGACGATCTAATGTCACTTTTCCTCAATAGTGAGGTCATTCTATTCGGAACGGAGGTGGAATATATTGGTATATTGTCGTTGATAAAAAACTCATCTGGAACGCTTACTTGTGAGAAATTTTACACAAATTCAGACTGTCCCTATGGACATGTCGAAGGATTTGTTATGAAATTTGGAGATTAGGTCCCAAATAAATCCATTGGATTTATGTAATGATTGTCAGACCATCACATATGCCTGGTGGCCAGAAGCTTTATAGAAAACGGCACAGGTGAAGCTTTATGGCTTAGAGAGACAGGCTTATCTGGCCATCAGTGGTGCCATCACTACCACACCGTCTGTGGCCATGAAGATTCTTCTAGATCTACTTCCTCTCCACATTTTTCTGGAGAGAGAGGCTAGATGGACTGCATATAGACTTATGCACATTGCCAATTGAACAAATCATTTCAATGCAGAATGCAACAGGCTGTTGGTTAACACTAGAAGTCAGCGCATTCTGGAAATGACCCCTGACTTCATGCCTCCAACTATCCACTACGAACTGCCTTATAAAGTTCTGTTCCCGAATAGAGAAGACTGTTTCCTCCCGGAAAAGGAAATATCAAGAGCAGATGGTTGTTGGTTCACAGATGGATCAAAAACACCTTCTGGTTCCGGTGCAGGACCTGCCTAGAAACCTATGCGACTATATTTCAAGCGAAAATTTACGCTATTGAATTGTGTGCGGAGAGATTGGAAGAATCCAACCTCATACACAAGTCAATAAAAATATTCTTGGACAGTCAAGCGGCGTTGGAAGCTCTTGGCTCCTACCAAGCAACGTCTAAATTGGTAGCAAATTGCCAAAAATGAATTTCCTCGATAGGAAGACTTAACAGAATGTCCCTGGTCTGAATTCCTAGTCATACTGGCCTGGAAGGCAATGAGGCGGCTGACTCCCTTGCAAAAGAGGGTGCTGCAAGCAGCTTCATCGGACCAGAATCTGTCGTTGGCATCGCTCAAAGCTTTGCCAAACAAAGATTGAATACCTGGAACTTCTGGCAGAATCTTCCAGGGTTGGCTCACTCTTCGAAGTTTGATACCAAACAGTTTTTGGACTACAGTAGGGATGAACTGCGATGTCTAACAAGCCTTCTTACTGTCATTTGAATCATCATATGCAGACATTTGGACTGCCGGAAGACAGTGTGTGTCGCCTCTGTTTGAAAAATGATGAAACAGCAGAGCACATACTTTGTGCCTGCCCCGCTGGGGACCGAATCAGGTTTTTAGAGTTCGGCAGAGCCGTACTCTCACCATCTGACCTGAAAGACCACTCACCATACAAACTAATTGGCTTCGTCGAAAAGCTGGGCTTGTTTGGTCGAATGTGAATAGGTGTGAGCCATAATAAACCCTTGTGGGTTGCGGTAGAGAATCGAATAGACCCACTCACTTTCGTTATTCATTATTTCAAAAAATGAACTGCTTTCATTTTTACCTGTAGATTCCACTGGTTCATATGCCGACAGTGTAAGGTTATCATTTTGTGATCGCTTGCGAAGAGTGATTATCAACACTACTAATACCCCTCAGTTGGCTGACCATAAATTCACTTTTACTGAACGCCTCTAAAAATAGTTACATCACTTTTCATACTAGACAGAAAAGAAGTGTGTCTAATCTGAATCTGAGAATTTGTGACACCCAAAGTATTCGAAGTAATTCTATAAAATGTCTAGGTGTTACGTCTGACAAAGACCTGAGCTTATATTGTAAAAATCTCATTGATCCATTTTTTGAGCCGGGGAAATTTTCTTCTATCATGTTTTATAAGTCCTAGTTAGTTTTCACCTGAAGTTAGGTGAAATCATCAGTCGTTACCTACATAGAGGGTCACATGATTCAAATTTTAATGAAGTTTTATTTGAATCCACATTCAGAGAATGAACTTAAAACAATCCATTACAAATGGCGCCCTATGATAGGGAAGAATACTTTGATTATTTTCATCATTTAAATATACTCCTTGAAGTATATCTTCATTAATATTCTGATATTGTCCGGTTTGTTTTGATCAAGTTAAATTGTTATATTCCAAAATGTTTTTAATCCGAAAGCAAGTTGTGAGCTCATTTATGAATTATTGAATAATTTTCTATCTAATAGTAATTATTTCAACAGCTGTCTACGACTCTTCTATTTCTACTTGTGAAATATTTTCTTTCAACACACACGATACTCTTTTTATGATTCATTCAATTAAAAAAAGTCTGAAGGCATATCGTATTTGTCATATCAGTCATGAAAGTAGTTCTGAGAGGGATGAATGATTCAAACTTCATTTAAAACAGTTACAGTTTTACCCAGAATAATAACCTCCTCACTCTGCTGCTTTTCTTGTTCCTCAGACTGACCTAATTTCATCATATTCTATTTCTTGACATTCAGTCACCTAACTATCTTCCTCTATCACTCACGATAGGTCTCTATTTAATCACATTAAATAACTCGTGAGTGTGTAGCAGTGTGGAACCCCTTACTCTCAGTAATATCACAATCATTTCGACTGAGTATTAAATTATTCCGGTAGGCTGATTTCTCGTTTGATTCCGAATAACTTCATGTACCTAATTGTTATGACAGTGTTCTATGTGAGTGCAATTTGTTACTATCCATTTAAAGTAGAACTCATGTGAATGATATCTGATTTTTATTTCACAACGAATGTTTGAAATACAAACTGAGTAGAGAAAAGTATCTTCTGTATAATTCAATGTTCATATAACAGTATTTGTTTCGAAAGAATTTTTTTCTTTCGTATTATTCAATGTTTATATGAAAGTAGCTGTTTCAGAAGGACTTTCTTTCAGTTTGTGTCTGAAAGTTACTTCTTTGCATGATCTAAACATCCATGTATAGAGTTACTTCCTTACTTTCTTTGGAAGAATCCCTCATCCTTCTTTTTTTGTATCAAGATGGAGTAGTAGAAAGCCAAAAACTTTCTTTCCCAAAAATATATAAAGATATTGAGTGAACCATCTGTTGATTATTAAGTGATGATGATGAAAATGAATACAGTTTGCCAAATAGAGAAAGAGCTTTGTGAGTTTCTATAGAGTCCTATCCACTAGATGCGCGTTAGAGGACGACTAGTATATTCCTTTTCGTTCTGATCGAAATGCATTTTTATACTCGGGTTCAGCATTGAATATGAAAGTTTCAGCTGTGTGACGCTTCTTTTATATAATTATTGAAATTGAAATTGATTGAATTAGTATCACATTTCTCAAAGAAAGCAAATATAGTATCATATTCAGGAAATGCATTATTGCATAGACGATTTTCTGTTATATTAGGATATTTGAATAACATAGTTTATGTTGAATAAACTAGCTGCCATGCATTATTCACAGTACTCAACTTGTTAATTAACCTCAAATGTGTATTGCGATTTTAACAATGAATAAAAATGTCAAACAAAGATTTTGTCGTAAATTTTGCATAGCAAATTGAATATCGTGTGTCGAAGCACTGAAAATGTTGCAGAAGAATTACTGTGGTTCAACGTTATCAAAAAAAAAAACGTGGGTGTGAGCCATACAGTATATTTAAAAGTGGCCAAAATGTGGTGAAGAATTGTCTCGCTCTGGTGAGCCATCAATAACCTGAACTGATGCTAAAGTGAAGGAAATAGTGACTGAAAATGGTCGTTCGAGTGAGAAACATAGGCGCTGAAATTTCTTCGCCTCATGAACCAGCTCTTACCATTTCAAGCAATTTGTTAGGCATAGAACGCTTTGCCGTTCGACTAGTATCAAAAGACCTGAAGTTCTGCAAAATTTCAATTGCATGAAGGTTGCTGAAGAAATATTGGAAAGAGTCAATCCAGACCCCACTTTTATGAAAAGCTTCGAAACTCTTCATGAGACATGAGTTTACGAATTTGGTATGCAAACCAGTCAACAAACTCGGGAATGGCCCTTTTTGACTAAACTGTCGAAAAAATGCCAGTCAAAGTCGATTACACGGTTTTGCATTCGAAATTGATACTAGAAGGTGGAACAGTAAATAAAGTATATTATCTAAGCGTAATGCGGCGTTTGAGAAAGCAAATTTGTGGGAAAAGGCTTGAAATTTGGAAAAAACCCATGATAACGCACACACGGTAACGCACCATCATACAAGGTTATCATTGTTGATGAATTTCTGAATAAAAGCTCAACAAATCATATTGAACAGCCACAGTAATCACCTGATATGGCTCCGACCGATTTTTTGTTTTTACAAAACTCATATCACCACTTCTAAGCACCCGTTTTCAGTCGATGAAGACATGAACTCGCAGCGGGTACGGAAGTAGACCAAAAAGATGCTTCTAGAAGTATTTTGATGATCGAGTTGTTTGTCGGCCTAGGTGTATCATTTCGGCAGGGACCTACTTTGAAGGCGATACCATAAATTTGGATGACTGATACATATTTTGCATTACATTGACGAATCCGTATACTTTTTTGACATAGTATTATTACCCATACATTAATTTTTTATTACAGATGTTTTAATAATATCATGTTATATCGGCATATCCCTGTAGACACTTCAATTTCCCCATCTCAACATAATTCATCTAAATTTGAAATAGTTCCTTGGAATTCCTCGAACTTTTCAAGATCGTCTTTCAATTTTTCAGGTGCCGCCGCTGCTTCTCGCATGTACGTGGATGCAATCAGCAAACTGGCACGACAGGCTCAACAAGGGACTTGGGGCGGCTCTTCTGACATCGGTAAGTAAACCGTGCTATTTTCACTGTTTGCGCTTCTTCATTACACCTCCAGAACCGTAAAGGATGCGTCGGGGATTTCTCGCAGACTCGGGAAAAGGTGACGAAATGAATTTCTCGGTCGCTTTTCTGATGAAAACCTGTTTCGGGAGATTGAAACGAATATGTTTGCCTCGCGAAATGAGCCTTTCACTAGAGTGGCACTTATTGAGAGTTACTCTGAAAAATATTCTCTTTTTTCACTGCATGATGTTGTCTACATGTGGGGGTTCACCAAATTTTATAGAAAAGCATCACTGCAATCTAATTCTACTACATTTTTTTCAAAAAATACGCTGAAATCTCCTCAAAAAATGAGATGAATTTCTATTTTTCTATTTATTCATCAATTCTTATTTTGTCTCCTTCAGAGTAGTATCTTGTACCGGCGTTTTTTCCAATCTTCGTAGCTGTTCTGGCATGCACTTTTTGGTATGTTCTTGAGCTCTCTCATCGATTTGGTTTTTAAATTCCTAATCGACACAAAACGCCGTTTTTAACCGGTTTTTTTCGAACTTGGAAACAGAAAAAAGTGGCAGGGGGGCAAATTTGGTAAATACGGTGGCTGAAGCATTATTGCGGTGTTACTTGTGGCCAAAAAAATTAACAACAAGCAATGACGAGTGATCTGGTGCATTTTCGTAATGCAATTGTTTTTCCATAATGCCGTATGTTTTCTTCGTATTGCTTCTCGCAAGCGGCGGCCCTACAACCATATGACAAGAACTCTTGATGCCCTACGTCGCGGTAATCGTGAAAAATACTTCTCTTATTGTAATTTGACAATTTTCTATAACAATTTTCTTCACTTTCGTAACATTTTCATCGGTTTTTGATGTGCTGGGGCATCCGAAGTGAGCGTCGTTATTCACATCTTCTCGACCTTCTGTTACCAGCTTTTTTCACTTGCAAACATTTTTCTGACTCAAAGTATATTCACCGTATGCCACTGTTAATATGTCACGTGTTTTTGATGATACTTAACTCCATTCTTCACACAAAACTTTATGCAAATTTTCGGATCCATTTTTGTCGATAGTCGAAAATCGCCGAACACGCAAAACCTAACTTTCATGCCTCTCACACTGAATATACCTAACAAGTGAAACTGTGTGTTCCAGACGAGTATACCAACATGAAAAATCGCCAATCGAATGCGTGTGTTAAGGAAAAATTGAACATTTGAACAGTCCACGTATATAATTGAACCTTGTTCATCCAATAGAAAAAATGTACTATTATTTTCTATTAGTCAGTGGGCTATGCTTCAAGACTGACAGTAAACAAATATAAAGAAATGGACTTTAAACGTTCAAGCCAGTCTCGGCTTGAACAGATTCCGGCTCATTAGCATCGATCTAAAGTCAATGATATTCCATAATTGAAAATCGGAATTCTTTCAGAGTATTTTATTCCTTTTCCTAACTTGGAGCGAACAACAAAATGTCACTACATCTAGTGGACAAGGTACTAACCAACTGCATATTCGAGACTGGCTTTGTTTACTGCTAGTCTTCAAGCATAGCCCACTGACTAATAAGAAAGTTTCTGTCCTTATTCATAGGAATTGGGCAAATTTCGGATATGCAGTTGGTTAGTAACTCGTCCACTAGATAGAGTGACATTTTGTTGTTCGCTCCAACTTAGGAAGGGAAATGAAAGAATTCCGATTTTCAGTTATGCAATATCATTGACTTTGGATCGATGATGGTCACTATTTTGTCCTGACGCGGTCTGCAAGTGTGTCCGTTCCAAAATTGAAGGTCGACTCTTTCAGTTGTATTGCCAATTGCATATGCAGGACAATTTCTGTGTTAGTATTACATACTAGGAAATGTCACAGAGGCATAAAATATTTTTTTTCTGGTGCCAACAGAAATTTGAAATTCAGTGTTCAGTGAGAATCTATATTGTATTATCTCAAATTTTATGATGAATAAGATTATTGAATAAAATTATTACTGAAAGATACTCAGTCAACAATCACTCCTACGTTCCTCATTGGATAATGTATAATAAACTGGAACATAAAAAATATCTCTTGATCTTTTATCGTAAAGCATTTTTTTTATGAGTGTTGTCAAAAAATCCTTTCAAATTTTTATACCAACAGCTTGCACAACTTCTCAGGAATAGTTTTCACGACTATGATAGGCGTGAACTTTCAGCAAATCTTGTATTTATACCATTGGGAAAGCTTCGAACACTATATTCTTTCACTCTTTGAAAATTGATTATACTCTGATATTCTCATTTTCAATTTTCATGTCTTACACTTCAACTAGATGCCAGCATTAGTTTGAATGTTGAGGAACCTGAAAATTTATTGAAGAAAAAGTGAGCGAATGATGAGGAGTCATTGGAGTCAATGTGTCTATGTTTTTTTGTATCATAATAGTTTGAGTGTTACCTAAAATATTGAAAATATTCATCAGTTGAATATTTCATTAGTATTGTATAATCTCTACATTTCATGTATCTTTCATTTATTTCATTTTATTTTATTTTTGCATTATTGTCTTATTAATGAATTGAATAAAATCAACTCACTTACTTGAAAATAACCCAATGTGTTTCAGTTATTCCAATTCGAATCAATTATTTCAACGCAATTTCTTCTGAACTTTTCTTCCTTGTTGACTTCACAAGAGTCCTCTTGGTAAACAAATGGAATTGACAAAACAAAACAATGCATTTTGGATATTGTAGATATAAAGAATTACTCGCACAGAAAACAGATGCAAATGCTTAAGCACCAGAAATAAACTGATGAAATTGTTATTATCATAAAATTCTTCTATATTCATTAACAAATGTATGAGTTTCAACGACGGTGCTAGAGAAGATTATTCGAATCTCGTTTCAATAATTGGCAACAATAAAATCCCCTTCACTGACTCACTAACTGAATCATTCCATTCACTTGAATCAAATAATTGAATTCCTACTTTAGTTTCAACGGCAGCGGCGAGAATAAATTCTCGAAGACTTATTTCTTAATCACAGCCCGTGTTCCAGGAGCCGAACAAAAGTAAAACCTCTCTTTTTCTATTCCGCTCAACTTCTGGAATTGAATAAACGAAAGAGAAAGTTTTCAAATATCCGATGACAATCGTCCTTAAAAACCCGACTTCTGTTTTAATTTCGTTTTCTTCTCGCCATTCAAAGAGAATTTCATCCCTATACCGCTTTGTTCGTTCACTATAGAGAAATCTAAGAAGACCTCAAATTTAGTCACTATAAATCTGAGAACAGTTATTACCACATTCTAATCATATATAGGGTCTTTCATTAATCGTAACCTATCTTCAAATTTGAATCAAACAAAGTATGTGTGAAATATCATCGAAACTTTTTATTTGTGGGAAAGATCTGTTAATGCCATCATGTGTGGAATACCATCGTTCAAATGTCCGCCACAGATTCTTAGGGTGGGTCCGGAACGTCTACTTTTCTATGACTTTGATGCATAAATCGGGATGAATTTGACCGAATTTGATTACGACTCAAGAAAATCTTACAAGAAAAGGTCTAACGGGATCAAATCGCACGAGCTTGGTGGCCAGTTCACATCACTTCCAAGTGAGATCGCTTGTGTAGAAGATTCAATGTGGTATGAGATGTGTGGTCCGTAGCACTGCCCATTTTTTCATCACAATATGTTGGTCAAACCAAACGGACTATATTAACTCGCTATAAAAAACATATTTTACATGTTCGGTTTCATAGTCCGGAGAAATCCAGTGTCGCTCAACATGCCATACTGAACGATCATAGAATGAGTGAGAAATGTTTGATATTGTTGAGACTGGCACATGACAACAGGTTCCTGGATGTCTTCGAGAGCTTGGAGATACCGAAAAGTGCGGAATTAGTTTTATGAATAGCGACAAAAATTCTATTTCGAACAGCCCTTTGTAGCACCAACTAGAAAGGCGGGCTACCTGCGTCAACATAAATACGAACTAGAAATCACGAGTCGTCGGTGAACCATCAGGATCAATAGACCTCTGAAGAAGCCAGCTACTCGTGCTGGCGAAACGTTGGGATACAGTTCCAAACCACGACGGCCATCAAACCCGAACGAAGATCGTAACACTGAAAATCTTGGCGAAAGCCTGAATCAATTAGTACCTCTCTGTTTTCAGAAGCATATCAGTCTATATCCATGATAATGATTAAATTTCCACAAATTATCATTATAGTGGATAGTAACGAGTCAGTCAATCCAGAAAATTTGTCTATAACTCGTAGCACTTTTCTCTGTACTAAATTTCTATGGATGGTTTGTTATAAGTTTTGGTGGCAATTCTGAAGATAATAATAGAAGATTAAACGATATTCGCATAACAGATATCTGATGTGTTATTATTTGATCAAAACCCTTCAAGGATGAAAGCAGTGAAGTGTGAAAGCATTATAATTTCATATGTTGAAAAAAATAAGTATTTGAAAATCAGAAAGTTCACAGACAGTGTTACACCCCTGAAAATAACAAGAAATATAATTTTCGAAGAAATAAGCCTTCTTTTGCAGATATTTGCATTTCAAAACCAATAAAATTTTTAGAAAACTACTTTAGATTATCAGTTATGAATAATACTGAATCCCATCTAATATTTATACTCGATACATTTAATTCACATCATATAAATTACTCATTTGTTAAAGATTCAAATCCAGAAGCCTAAACTAGCTCACTGACGTTTTTCAATTGTCTATCTGCTTTGATTGCTGCATCCATTCCTCACACTCTTGTTGAATTTATTTCCATTCATCCTCAGATTATTTATTTTGCTGCAGTGGATTCCGACATTTTCTTCCACGGAAGTATTTATTTCACGTTCTGTACATTTTACTAGTTTTATTGCAGAAATAAAACAGCGTAGTCCCGCCATTTCAGAGGTCTGGCCCTCTAATACACCACGAAATAACACGAACAATAAAATATTGCAGCTTTATTT